AAATTGTAAGTTTTCATGTAATTATAAATTTATATATAATTTAAAAAATTATTGTATAATAGTAATTATATAACATGTATTATATAATTATCATGATATATGACATATATGTTATATATTATATTTATATGTTTCATATAATATATATTATATAACATTTTATACATATAATATTTTTCCAAACAGAACATCGTCATATCAGTTGGGGAATTGTTCATCCGTGTACCCGCTTTGGAGAGTGGAACACGTCAGCACATGAATAAAATTACAAATGATGAGAAGAATATGGAAGATTGTGAAAATTTTCCCATCATTGCCCATAATTATGGATCTGCATGTTAAAAAGATGATAATGTGTTTAGAGGAACAATTCATTTTAGGGGTGTCCTATTTTAGGCAATTTGGACAACAATGTTGAGTTTAAAATCATTAGTACTCTGAAGTGTGAAAAAATCTAGTACCCAGCTATCTGAATAAATATTTCTTTAAAAAAAAAAATCAGAACACCTTCAGAACATTTTAGCTTTTATTTTCCAGGGTTTTTTTAGAGTAATTTCAGAGCAAGCACACAAAGAGGTTCAACCCTGCTGAAGGTAAGGAATGTTTGCCAACCCCTGACTGTTCCAGGCTCGTATCTCCTTTAGCCCACCAAGAGCTGACCTTACTTTGGTTGGAAAAACGGATAAAATTATAAAGCAATACACAAATGAAGAGGAGATGTACGCTGCAGCCAAAGGTGCGCTCCCAGCTGAGCGAGCTGACGCTGCTGAATCCCCCTGCAGCTGCTGGGGAGGTGATGGCACACAAACCCAGCCCTGTGCTGGAGAGGCAAAGGTGTGTTCAAACTGCTGCTGTTTGAGGCTAAATGAATCCCAGCTCCACTTCCAGCACCAGGACTGTTCTCTCCCGGCAGAAAATTGGTCAAGAAATGAAAGGGTGGGAGCTTCAGATAAAATAATGTTTCCAAAATACTCATGAGCTGTATGTAATGTAATTTTTCAGACATGCAGAGCTCACCCAGAATGAGGGAACATCTCAATAAGTGTTAATAAATCACATAACACCCTGATTTTTGAAACTGTGTCTGTTTAGGGTAGGAAATATATCCTAAAGCACTTCCTTTCTTTTATGTTTGCTGTCATCTAGCACAAAATGAAGCTTTCAAAGCATTTATATGGTCCTGTTTCATTGCTGAACATGAGTTAGGCTTTTTGGAACCCGCATCCATTATAAAGTAAACCTGAAAGACAAATTTTGACTTAGGACTTTATAAGTGCTCTGAAAAATATTATTTTATCTAGCTTGCATTTCTTGACTAAAGAGTAAGACTGTGACAGGGTAAGGAAGTGAATTTAAACATCCCAAATGCCAGGGAAACCTGTTCAGCTTTTGTGTGTCAAAAAATGTCTACCTATCCTCCAAGCAAGTTTTGGAAGATAAAGAACATTTCTTCTTATGTCAGCTCATTCCCAGGATTTACCCCCTCAAGCTGCACCGTGCAGGAACTCACCACAAACAACCCCAGCCCCTGCCCAGAGGTTCCCTTGTTTTTGAATCATCTGGGCTGGATAATTTGCAGATTTTCATTATTAATATCAAACTTTGGGCCGGTTTACTCTCATTACTGTAATCAGTTCTGTTCCTTGTATTTCCAGTGCTTTTTCCTTGCTCTCTGAATTTGCCTTTCAAAATAACACCTAAGAGCTGATGTCGTGCAGAGACTGCCCACGTGTGCTCTCTGCACTGTCTTGATAACCATTTTCACCATTTCATCTGTTTTAGGAGGTAGAAGAATTCAGGTCATTCATCGATTTGACACATTTTTATTTTGATTTTTGGCCCATCCATACTTCCCTAACTATGTGCTGCCACGTCAGTTTTCTGCAGTTCTACATTTGTTGAAATGTTCAGTCCTCCCAAACCTTTTAAGGATCGACAGCAGCACGTTTGTTCAATAAATTGCCGGCTGTTTCTTTCCATGCCAATATTGACATTTTTTTGCAAGTTCAAATTGACTGCAAAGTGCATCCCATCAGCGTCATCAATATAGAGATAATGACAACTGACCCAAAACCTGGTTTTCCAGCCCTACTAATGCTTGGGTGACCTTAAGAAGCAGCTGTTGAATTCCTAGATCCCTGGAGGATTTGTCAAACAGGGCAGGAATGAGGGCATTTGGATGGCAAAAGCATTTCTTACTCCCCATAGTGCTTCGTTTTAACCAACTCAATGCATTCCTGAAGTCTAGGAAAACAACAAACAACTTTAAATCCTGTGTGTTAAAATGAGGATTAAAAAAAGACTGGTGGGCTGAAATTAATGATGATTCAGAAATGAGTCAGCTATTGAATTCTCCTTCAAAAATCTGTTTTCAAGAAGGGGGAAAAGAAAGAAAGAATAGTATGAATAATTGGAAACTAAGGAGCTTTTGCAAGTAAATACTTGCAGCTACTTAGCGTAAGTAAGGAATTCCAGAAAGCATGCACAAGAAGGAGCACCAAGAAAACAAATCAGTGCTTTTACTGCAGGTATATTTTAAAAATAATTGACAACTGCTAGGATTTCAGGTGAATGCAGCAAACAATTTGACATTTTGAAAGACTTGAGAGATCTGACTGCATTTATCCTTGAAGGGAGTTGAACTCAGCATCCATCCCTGGTCAGGTTGTGACCCTAACCCCACTCAGGGTGGGCCTCACAGAACTCTAGGCTGTCCCTTATATTTTCATATTTCATACTGATGCATTAAATTTATGTTTTCTATCAAATTCCAAGACGTTTATTAGAAAGGAAAATGCATATGTTAGTTTGAAATTAAAGTTGGTTCTGTTGTTCTGCTGCACTGGATATATTATATATATAATGCTTGTCAGATGGGCATTTTGCCAAAAACCTCACTTGATAAGTTCTGAAATTAAAAAAAAGAATAGTGATAACATTTAACACTGCTTTAGGTGACACCTCCCAGTTTGGACAAATTAAAATTATTCACACCTGATGGATTGGCATCAGTAGAGGCCTTTGTCACAAAACAAAAATTGACAGATTTTTTTATCTTTGTGTCATATGTCTGTGGTGTGTTTTGTTGCCTGTAGATTCTACTCCAGAATAAACCTATGGCAACATCCATGGGTTGGAATAGGTAAAAAAACAATACATAAAAAATAATGAGCCTTTCTCATGTTTTGCATTGGTTCAGACATAAATAAGTCTCCACACACAGACTTGGAAAACCACTTTATTTTTATTTTTAATGTGTTCCAGCTTACTCTGGAAGAGGAGATACTAAAAAAAATAAAACAATTAAAAAGGGGAAACATCTTAAACAAAGCATGCTTTGCTAAAAAGGTATTTCTGTATTGATTTTGTACATCAGTTACTTCTTAAAAAATGGGAGATTCCACACAGTTATTTTCTCCAGCAGTAATAGAAAAGACAAAATTTATTCCCTTGCCTGCTTTAGGCACAGAAAGTAGCAAGATGGGAAAAGACTCCTCTTCTTTTCCTATGTTTTTCCCCTGCCCATTGTGCAAGCACTGAGCAATGTAAATTTATTTTGCAGTTTACAGCATGTTGCCTTTGGTGTTTCCTCTAGGAGTGGGGACTCCACCACTTCTCTGGGCATCCTGTTCCAAGCATTTCTGACAAGAAAATATCCCTGCAGCCGAGCTGAACCTGCCCTGGCCCAGCCTGAGGACATTTCCCCTTCTCCTCTTGCTGATTACCTGGGAGAAGAGCCTGACCCTCCTGGCAGGGAGCTGTACAGGTTCCCCTGAGCCTCATTTTCTCCAGGATAAAGAAGAATAAAAAACATCCAGTTTTGATGGATGGAGAGCCTCCACCTTCAGTAAATATCACCTCATTTGGAAAAAAAATCCCATTCTTCTCCCTTCAGCTGCAATCACTGCTAAGTGACTGTCATGACAGACAACACATTTCAGAACCATTCAGCATTTTGCTCAATATATATATATAATTTTTTTCCTTTTTATATCTAATATGTCTATTAACCACATCCCACTGAGCCCTGAGCACCTGTTTTAAAGTGTCAGCCTTCCTGTTGTGCAATGGTACTCGAGCGCTCATCTTTTTATTTAAAGTCACAAATTGTCGAGCTCCAAGCGAGGCGAGCACAGCGAAGGCAAACCAACAAATACACCGAGGCAAATGAGTACATGAGATAAAGAATATGAGCCGAGGGAATTTAAAGGTGTGTGGGAACACGGATGGGTGTTTTCCCCGGCTGGTGTTGAATTTCTCCCGGGATAACCAAAAGTGATAATTAAACATTGATAATTGCGGTGGCCATGGGGAGCAACGCTGTCCTTTGGGTGCCCTCTGCTGAACACTGCCGGGCATCGCAACCCAGCCGCCAGTATTTCAGATCATCTTAAAAAATAATTTACAAAAAGGGTATTTTTGAATAAAATTCCACGACTCGAAGACTTTTAAAAAAACCCCATGGTCTTTATGAAAATATGTGTGCATTTTTAAGCAGGCGTAACTTTTGCAGCTGAGGTAAGACGAAATGCTTCTATTTTTGAATAAAATTCCACGACTCGAAGACTTTAAAAAAACCCCATTGTCTTTATGAATATATGTGTGTATTTTTAAGCAGGCATAACTTTTTCAGGGGAGGTAAAACAAAATGCTTCCTGGAAAAATACTGCTTTTGCCAATTTTGAGATTAAAACCAGGAGCTATGATGCAATTTGGTGAGGTGCTTGGCTCAAATGCTTTGGCTTACCGAGAATTTTGGTTGAAGTTTACAGAATCAGAAAGGTTGTCCTGGCCTTGAGCTCATCTCTGCTGTGTCAGTCCCCTGCATGGACCTGCATACAGGGATCACTTTTTGTGGGCTTTTGGAATGTGGATGTCCTGGCAGCATCTTTAATCCCACTAAAAAACCCCAACTGGCTCTGTCAGAATTGCCCAGGAGATTTTCCTCTGTCGGGCTGTGTAACTCATTCTGTTGATTATGTACACATCAGGCACTTTCATTCTTGTTTGTTAGTGTTTATTGTTGTTGTTTGCAGTTTTGCTATTAGTTATGCTCTCTGTACAGTGCTATTATTTATTATTTAGTTACTCACAGCATTTTGAATGGTGTTTCTAAAAGAAGCCGACCTGATTCACATATCTAAATTTCTTTCTAAATAGAGGATTCATTCTCTGCATCAGAACCTGGCAAATGTTCTTTGACCTTGCAATTGTCTTCTTTATTCATAGCAGCATCTTCTTGTCCATTCTCCAGAGACCTGGAGTTCTTATTTTGAAAGTGTTTCTTTATCAATCTATAAAAAATTATTCCAACCAAGAAGTAAGGACCTCTTAAAATTGCTCCTAAACCAAGGTAGACATACCTGTAAGACAGAGCACAGAAGATTGGGCCAGGTGTTGAATTTTTCAAAAACACTAAAGAAAATCACTTGAATGGATTTTAAGGCTCTCGTATACACAAAAAAGGTTAGGGAAGGACATTGAAACTCATTGTGAATGATACTAAAAACTGGACATTTTTACTTGCAAAAACTTCTCTTAAAGAGTTGATAATATTCTTTTTGCTTATGAAAATAATTTCAAATGAAACTTCTATCATCTTCCTTTTTTATCTCTCTCTTTTTTTTTAAATTTTATTTTCTTGGGAAGATTTTTGGACTACTTTAAGGCTTTGGACTCTTTAGGCCTAGAAATATATTGAGGTCACCAGAGTAGTCTATTATACATAAAAATAAAAACCACATCAGAAGTGGCTAAGGTTTGAGTGAAACAGAGAAAAATCTATGGAGCATTCCCCCAAGACACTGATAGTGTTTGGGTTTTACTAACGCCTACAGCTACTCAGTACAATATTCCTCCATTGTGAATGATACTAAAAACTGGACATTTTTACTTGCAAAAACTTCTCTTAAAGAGTTGATAATATTCTTTTTGCTTATGAAAATAATTTCAAATGAAACTTCTATCATCTTTCTTTTTTATCTCTCTCTTTTTTTTTTTTTTTTTTTTTTTTTTTTTTGGGGGGGAAGATTTTTGGATCACTTTAAGGTTTTAGACTCTTTAGGGCTAGAAATATATTGAGGTCACCAGAGTACTGTATTATACATAAAAATAGAAAACACACCAGAAGTGGCTAAGGCTTGAGTGAAACAGAAAAATCTATGGAGCATTTCCCCAGCAGATCATGATTGGGTTTTACCAGCACCTACAGCTACTCAGTGCAATATTCTTTCATGGACTTTTCTCCAAAAGTGGCCAATGCACAGAGTTAACATTATTGCCAGTGTGAACAAATTACCTGCAAATAAGGTAAATTTGGGTAACTTTCCTCTTTAAAGCCCTAAAGTCTGAGGTATTTTTAATTTGCTCTAAGTATATTAAAATTACACAATTCATTCCAGAAATCTGTCATGGATATTAAATTCCTTTTGTACAACATAAAAACTGACCAAAAATTAAGAGCTTAACATTTGATCTCGAGATTTTTCAATTTTAGGAATTGTGGACTGACTTAAAGCTGAGCCCAGAGATAATATCTGACCACGATTTTGGATGCCTTCTAGTTTTCCTCACCTGTTTGCATTGGAGTCATAGAGCCTGCAAGCCCCTCTCTTCCCACAGCTGGTGCTGCCCCACTTCAGGCACGTCTTGTCGATGGCTGCGCCAAAATAAACTGGTGCTGGAATCCCAGCTGCAAGGAGACAAGCAAAACGTGGGAACGGGGCTTCACAGGAAGGGACACCCTCCCAGGAACCAGATTTCCATTTCCCTAGGGGTGGTTGCAGGCTGCCAGGGCAGCTCCAGGTGGGTTGGAGCCTTCCCTGGTTTCTCTTACCCAACATCCTCATAACGAGCGTGAAGAGACCAACTGCCAGAGCTTTGAGCTCTGGCTGGACACATCTGGAAAAAAGAGGGATAAGTAAGAAGTGCTGGCCTCTTCAGTGCTCAGACATGCCTATTAAGTGCTATTAAATAACCTGAATTTAATACCCTTGTTGATGGAAGAAGCACTTTGGAATTTCTTTGGAAGAAGTGTGCTTCCTTCATCTGCTGAAGTGTTAAGTGGTATGAAAGAGGTGAATTAATCTACTGATTTTCATCAAATAGCTCCTGGCAAGTCCATTCCCTATGCACAATTAAGGAATCGAAGTTTTAAAGCCATAATCAGAGTCTGTCCTGACCTTTTGGAAATTATTTCTCCAACTGTCTTCACTCTTGGGCATACATTTCCCTCACTTGAGGGAATATTTAATGGGAAATGTCCTACAGCCCTAAGACAAAAGAGTTGCAGGTAGCAGGGTCAGTGCAGCATCTCTCTGTGCTTGAACAGAATTCCTCTGTACAAGGACACATCTTGGACAGCACAAAGCCTCCTGGCAATCTGTTCCATGGGGAACTGCAGGCAGCAGAAATGGGCCCTGGTCTTGAATTCATTTTATCTCCAGCCTCTGCCATCTCCTTGCACATCCAGAAATCCTGGCAACTGCATGGCACTTTCAAAATCCAAGCAGAAAAAAGGACGTGTTCTGGAAAAGCTGATTACAGAACCAGAGAATCACAAAATGGTTTGGTTTGGAAGGGATGTTAAAGATTCTCTTGTTGCAAAACCATGGGCAGGGATGCCTTTCTCTGTCCCAGGCTGCTCCAAGCCCCATCCAACCTGGCCTTGGACACTTCCAGGGATCCAGGGGCAGCCACAGCTGCTCTGGGCCAGGACCTCCCTCACAGGGAGGAATTTCTTTTAACCTAAACCTTCCCTCTTTCAGTATGATCCCATTACTCCTTGTCCTACCACTACAGCTCCTGATCAGCAAGATACTCCTTTTTTTCCTAAGATAAGGATACAAACATAACTTTGAAAGCCTTCCCGGAGAGCCTTTGGTCAACAGCCAGCTGTTCTCACCTGAATGTAAGCATGTATGAAGGAGTGGCTCCCAGGGCATAGAAAAATCCACCTATGACTTGTATTACTGTGTAATAAATGAAATTCATCGAGCAATCATCACTTTTTGGACATTGCCCCAAGGTGGCAGAATTGTTTCCTGTCCATGAACGGTTGATTTCAAGACATGTGCAGTTATGGAAGACCTGGAAGACACAAAACAGGTTTGGTAGGACACTGCTCATGAAATGGGGATTCTGCTGGAGAGAAAACAGAGTAAAGAGACAGCTCCAGACCATTTACGTTCTGGAGTGATCAGGAAACATGCAAATGGCACAGCCCAATGAAGGTTTACATCCATGGACTAGAGCTTTGTCTCTGGACTCTGGGCACCATCTCCATGCCAAGCAAAAATCAGTCACTCAGAAAAACAAGCAGCTTCCTGACATCCCAAATCTCACATGGAGGAAACAAGCTGCCTTGCCTTAACCCATTTTTGATACTTTAATGATCAGAGTCAGGGAAGATACTGCTCTATCTTAGTGTACTTCAACTGCTAGGTAAAGCCTCAGGGCAGCCAAAATGACATTTATGAAAGGCAGAGCCCGTGGAAAACCTTCAGGCAACATGGAACCAATTTGATTTGTGTGTTTCCCCCTCTTGTGCTCAGAAGGTGAAAGTTAATATCTAGAACAAGCAGCTAGGGTCTTTTGCTTAATGTGCACAGAGAAATCTCAGAGAAAATCACAGAGAAATCAGAGAAATCTCTCTTTTCTGTGCTCTTTGTAGCCAGAAATCAAAAATCCCTTACTGACTAGTCCCCAGTAACTTTGGCTTTCCTGAAACGCACTATCCAACTAAATCCCTGATGTTGCATGGAGAATAAGCTGGTAGAAACCTCAGGAACCAAAGCAGGGTCTCTTACTGTGTTCTTTCCATGTCCCACGGAAGTCCCACACCCAGCCAGACATGCAGAGACATAGGTGATCCCATTGGCTCCACACACAGGGTCCCACACATTGGAGGCACATTTGCAGTGAGAGTTGCATTCCGAAAATAGGGAATTGTTGTGGTACGGAATGGGGTTGCTTGGAAATTAAGTTCAGACAAGTGTAAGGCATTTTTAATTCAGCGCTGAAGTCAGTGAAGTCCCTTCTGTGTGACAGTGTTGCTGCTCTGAGCCCCACCTCACACGCCCAGGACATGTTTCCACAGTTGAGTTTCTACATCTCTATTGGTCTGTTTGAGATTCCATCCTACTTGCACTGATATTAAAGCCATTGCTAGATTATAGAGAATTTTGAAACAAATGAAAACATTGCAACTGATTTTACAGGTGTAGACAGAAAAGAGAAAGGAAAGAGAGGTCATTTGGGCTCTTTCCTAACTGAATTTAGAGCTGGCAAGAGTTATCACAGTCTTCTCAAATATATCTTTATCAGTTCGTAAAAATGTACCAGCGACAGAAACCAGATCTCCTGGTCTCTGTAGTTAGAAAATACTCCTCTGCTAAAGCCTAGCCTAACTTTCCATAGAGGATATAAAGAATTTAATATTATCTTTTGCTTTCAGACATCCTTTGTGTATTGAGGGAAAAGATATGTCTTTACTCAATTTTTCCTCTCTAGGCAAATGAAACTGATGTGCTTGCCATTTTTTTAATCCCAGTGCTTCCTAAGCATTCCCTGCTCCACCATGTACATTCCTAGTGAAAACATTGCACAGCAATACTCCCACCCTCCCCCAGCAAAACAACCAACATTGCTAATGAAGCAATTCCTAATTAATCTTTAACCAGCATTGGGCTTTGGCAGGCTGACCAGCAAAACTACCCCAGTGGCATGTGGCAGTGCTCACTTTCTCTCAAGCATTGCAAAAGCATCTTTCTCCTTTAGCCTTGATGCCACAGTGCATTTTTTGAGAACTGTGGAGAAAATCACAATCTTTTTTTTTCTATTCTATACTCACCCTTCATAGGACACTGTCATTCCTGCCACCACATGGTTGTCACAGCCAACAAAAAAGTGTAACATGCTGGTGGCATAGGACAAAAATGACATGATAAATGAAAACTTTGTCGCTGCAATGATGCCCATTTTATACTTTTTCATTATAAGCCCTCCTAGGAAAATTCCAAGACCTACAGGAGGCAAGGATGTCACTCCTGAAAGAGATTATAGAAGGGGAATGTTAGAATTAAACATTATAGTCTTAAGAGGCAAAGTCTGTCCTTAGTTTTTTTGTTCCTGGCAGCTTTATGGTCTGTTATGACTTTAGGAAGGTTTGTGTTCACCCCAGCCCCTGGGAGTTGCTGTTTGTGCAGTGCCTATCCCTCCAAACCCACTCCCATTGCAAGAAACTTGCTTCAGCATCCAAAACTTCCACACCACACTCATTGCACATTTGGGGTGCCCTAGCTACAAATATCACATAAATGCAATGTAATGTAATATAACCTAAAAAATTTTTATGGTCCCACAGGTACAAGCCCTGTGTTTTTTTATAATTCAGGTTCAGGTCAGACCACCATTTACCCTCAAATGCTGTGCATGGAATTCAGCCCCAGATAAAGCCCAGCAGAACCCATCCCCATGCACTGCTGACAGCACAAGCAGCCTTGCATGGTGGAACTCACCTATTAGGAAGTTGGATTTGGATGTAGATTGTCCATACTGCTGTTCCATGTACTTTGCTTTGTAAGTCACAAAACCAATAAAACTGTTGAACTGTAACAGTGAGCAACACAAAAATGTAAAGTACATTCGATTACCCAATACCTTTTTCAGGGAGTTATAGAAATCTGAAAGAAAGGGACATATGAGTTGGCATTGAAAGATGCATGGCATCATTACGGGTAAGTAACCTGCAAAACTTAGGGCAAGCTCCTCCTCTCAGCTGTCCAAGGGCAAGCTGTACTGATCTCCATTTGCATGAGGGTATCTGAAAGCAAAATCAGGTTCTTGAAAAACACCAGAGGTTGAGACACAGGAAGAGATTACTAAAGGAGACAGGAGTTAAGGGGGTTAAGGCCTGGCTGCTCTGTTGAGATGAGCACATGAAGACTAAGGGGCTCCACACAGCACAGGCTTTGTTCAGCTCCCATGAATATTATCACAGGCTCAAGGCTAAGTGAGAGCTGCCTCAGTGGGGCTGTCCAGTGTATTCCACTGGGATCTGAACAAAAAATTTGACAAATGAAGCAAAGTCACTTATTTCCATCACTTTCCATGACTTTTTTGGCCTAAGGACTGTGCAACCAGAGCTACAATGAAGCAAAGTCACTTATTTCCATCACTTCCCATTACTTTTTTTGGCCTGAGGACTGTGCAACCAGAGCTATTCAAGACTGAAGTATTTTCATCAGGCACCAAAGTACTTCAGAGTCTCCATGAACTCTCTCAAATGAATAATTTGTCTTTCCATACAGCAAAAGGAGGCTTTGAATATTTCCTTTAGGTTCACATACAGGAACACTTTTCCACTGTTCAAATGTCTTCCAGTGAACAATTTTAGAGTTAGGTGCCACTCAGGTGATATACTTCAGGTGATGCTTGCAGAACCTCAGAGTCCTGAACCAGCTCTTTCATTTCTAATAATTTTTTGGTGGACCTTTCCTTTCCTGGGGACAGCCACCTGGTTTAGATGGAAGCACAGGGGAAGCAAAATATTTTGCAGAGCTGTTACATTTCCTATGCGTGTTGTGCCTATTGCTTTTCACATTTGTACAACATGAGAAACACTTGCCTTTCAGCATCACTGACCACTTCCTTGGCTTAGTTTTTTCAGGAGAAAGTTTATTCCCCGTGGCACCCATGTTTTCCAACAGCCCACGTGAAGTTTTGTCCTTCTTGGCTTCCTCTGGCTTTTCCAGACTCTTTGGCAGGAAGCAGAATGGAATAGCAGACAGGAGACTGGCTGCTCCACCTATTAAGAAGCCAAGCCACCATGCACCCACCCAGCGGGAGTCCTGTGGGGTGATGGTGATGCTCCCTGGAAACGAGGGACACAGGCACAAGTTACCCCAGGGGAGAAGCTGAACCTCCCCACCCCTTTTCTGCTGTGGCAGCTGCATTTTATAGTGCCTGACTTCCAGCCATAAACATCTACTCAGTGGAAAGGATGGGTAATTACCCTAAACTGTAAAACTGTTGCACTAGCAGAATCTTTTTTTGTTAAAATTCCAGTTTAGAAAAAAATCTTGGTTCTGTGAGAGTTCTTGGTACTAATTCTTAGGGTTAAGTGTGTATATAATCCTTTAATATTAAAGCACAGATATAAAGTATGCTCCCAGTCTAACTCTGCCTTTACTATAGAAGCTTTCAGTAATTCAATAAATTAAAATAAATTATTTCAATAATAATTCATATTTCCCAATAATATAACACTATATAATATATTTATATAATCTATGTATATTTATATAATCCATTTATATTTTGTATCTCTTGATATATATTTTTATTCTATATTTATACAATATAACAGTATATTTCAATAATAATTTATTATCATTATTGAAATAATTTACTTATAATATATAATATAATACAATATAATACAATATAATATAATAGATATTATATTATATATCTAATATTTATAACTCAAAAAACTAAAATATCAATAAATTATACAATAAAAATATAATTCAAACATAACATATAATTAATATAATGCATACATGTGCAACCATTTATAGGCAATTTTTATGAACAAGCATTAGCTTACTTTCGCTTTTCCCGTTTTGCTTACCCGGATCCACAAATCCAACATCCACGTAGAGCTTTGCACACAGAGATCCCAGCAGGAAGCCAAACATGGGGCCCATCATGGCCACGGTGTGCAAGCACGCTGAAAGCACAATGAGGCAGACGCTAGTACCCTCTGAGGGCTGAGGGCTGTCCTCTGCAGAGGGTGCTCCGCCTCTCTCACCAGGGATCTCCCGGGTTCCTTCATGCTGAGATTACCTACATACACGGGAACGTTCTCTTCCTTAGCAAAGTCGTCGAGGTAGGCGATGCCCAGGGGCGTTATTGGTGTCTCGCCGATCCCACGCAGCACGTTTCCCAGCAAGATATATATCCACATATATGATGAGGGCTCCTTCTCACAGCCTGCAGAGGAGAGTTCACACCTTTGTGATAAAATGTTTGAATGGGAAGCTGGGGAAGATCACACGAAATGTAGCACATGAAGTGATTACAGAGTAGAAATCAACATATTAAGAACATTTCCTTATAGAAGATAAATAAAAGGCTGTCAATCCCATTATAACTTTTCATGATCTTTTAATAACACATTCTTCCACCTCCATTGCCTTTGATTTTTAAAAGCACAGGTGAGTATCACCCATCAGAAAAAAAATCTCATTAAAAAAATAACTTATTTATATTTTCATAAATATATTACCTGGCATATATCATGTATCTTTAACGTGACAAGTTTGAGATGGTTTCTGGTGCAGAGCTTGGCTTATTCTCTACCTGTGTCCCATACAAGCAACACATAAAACAGATATTTTCCATATTGTAAGGAGGATTATAGGAATCTCCATTTATTTCTGTTAATCTCCATGCAGTTTCACACTCTGTCCCCATCTCTGGTCCCAGGTAAACAATCTCCTGTATTTGTGCTTTCATTTACAGTTCCATACCTGCTCGTGAGACTTCCAGGACAGTGTCATTCCCATCTTGATGTAGAGAGCAGGGACTTATGCTGGAATTTAAGCTGGCTGAAGCAGCTGTGTGTGATGTTGTCTCATACTTGTAGCTGCAAACACACAAGAGGAGGTTTAGAAGCAGTGCTCACCAGGGAAACACCAGTGTGGTACAGCTGGAACCACCTTGGCTGCTGTTTCCCTAAAGAGAAAGGTGTCTTTGATTAAATATCAATTCAAAGGAGCAAACAAGACTATTAAAGAACATTTTAGAAAACCAAAATACTGAGTTAAGAACAAATAAAACTTAGAATTCTCTGTCTGGAAGGCATAATGTTTTAAGCTGGAAAATTCAAAAAGGCTTGTGAAAGTATTTCAGACAGGATTGAATTTTTGGTGCCTAAATTGAGGGTCAAGTGAGCTCCCTGTGTGGACCCCACAGCCAAGGAAACAAAGATGATTGTCTTGAATTTGAGCAAAGGCTCCCTTTCCATCTTAGAGATGTGTTTGGTCTGTTCAGCTGCTTCAACGTGATCCCTCTCCCAGAAACGAGTGCTGCTGAGGGGCAAAGTACAATTAGCTTTAGCAGAACAACATGGCAAAGCACACATTCAGCTTCAAGGAATTGCCCTGGCTCTCTCAGAGCAGGCAGGCTTATTTTTCAGGCTGAAACAAAGAGCAGTCACCAGGAGACACAGTGCAGAGCAGTTCCCCTACAAATGTTCAGGCTCAGGCTCGTGACTTGCCCAGTGTAGATGAGGATGATACATGGCCTGCCTTAAAGAGTGAAAAACTGATGAAAAGTCTGGTTCTAGCAAGATCCACTAACATGAAAGAAAGCGTTCCTCAGTTTCCTTTTTGCAGTGGTATACCTAAAATTATTCTAATCTATTTAAGGAATCCACAGAAATATGTCTTACTCTATTTGTCATCACTGTGCTCAAGCTATGGCTAGAAACATTATCACATATGAGCATAATGCAGTAATTCCCTGAGCCTGGAGAAGGTGAATAACAATTAACCAGACACAGAAAATCAGTTTAATCAGGCATGTGCATTAGGAACAGGAAAAACCCGTAGGTTTTTTCCTCAGGTAGAACCTTATGAGTTCTACCAGTTCATCCATCTGCAGGCTCCAGCATCACTGCATTCCTTGGCTCCTTTCTGAACAAGCCTGAGTGGAAACTAAAGCACTGTGATCTTCTCTTTTTTTTTTTGAGGAGCTGAACTTTCACTTGAGAAGAGCTGTATTTTTTAAATGAACATTCCCCATCACAAGAGTGATGCGTGTGTCACCTGGGGTTCGTTGCACTTGGAAGTGAGATTCCATAGGAAATCTAAGGCTAAATACACAAGTTTCACCTAAAAAGCAGAATGCAACTCCAGTGCTAAGTTACCCAAATTAACCACAATCAGTACTTACTATCCCATGAAGAAATGAGGCATGGCTGACAGAAAGCATCCCAAAGCCATAGTAAAGCATCCCACAGCTATCACTTTGGGCCTATGCAGCTTGGCTCCAAAGTAGCTTACAAAGGCAATCACCAGCAAGTTGCCTGCAAGGAGATGAACCAGGATGAGTGCCAGCTGCTGTCTCTGAGCAGGTCTCTGTGTGTTAGAAACACCCATTACCCATCTCGAAGCTCCCGTCGACCAGCCCTGCGATGGAGGAGGTCAGGTCAAACCTTCTCTCAATCTGGGTGATGGAGCTCTTCATTATCGTACCAGACAGGGCTTTGCTGAAGTAGCTGAAGGACAGAGCAGCCAGAAACACCTGGGGAAAGATTCAGGCAGGAAAGGGGAGGGACAGGCAGGAGAACTGGTCACAGAAGGATCAAACACACTTAAAATAGTGTGGACCCATCATCATCATGACATATTTGACACTCAAATTGGAGTGGCAAAGTCAATCTGAACCCAAATTACCTCTTGCTTGGGTCACATCTCCCTTATTTTAGGCCAATTCTTATCTGCTTCTAACTCAGTCATATGACATCATTTTGATGCTTTAAGCAAGCTTTTATGATACATCAGGATGAGGAATGTGGTACTAACTGTTGGGTTCATCTCTATATCAAACTATATATTCTGAAATGTTGCTTGTATATCATATATCTCACAAGGAAAAGCTTAATACTCTTTTGTCGGTTGACTGTTGCTTCTACCAACACACCTTGTGGCTTTTGCAAATAAAGATATATTTGGAAAAATATTTAAGTTTGTTTAAATATTATCCAGTGATTTCCACATAGTCTAAAAACCAAATAGACTTGTTGCTCACTGGGCAAGATACTTCTAATACAACAGAAACCTGGGTAAATAAACGAAGTAAATGTAGGTTTAGACATTGCAATTCTATTGGCTGCAAAGCCAATCCAGGAAGAAAAAGCTTGAAAATTGGTATATTTACTCTCTTTTTGTCAGGAATAAAGAGAAAATTCTTCCAAGTGTGGGGTTTGTCCTGATATGTTCTGATATATTTCCTGAGATATGTTCTGATATATTTCCTGAGCTTGACTGGCAAAAATTCTGAGAACCACCCTTTGTGCCTCATGCCAGCAGTACTCAGAGGGTTTGGCTGAAATCTCAAACTGCTGATAAGCATGAAAACACAAACAAAAATCCCTGGGGTCGTTTGGGGTTTAAAATGCAAAACCTTTGATGAAATGAGGTTCACCTCACCTTGTTTTGACCCTATGAGACTGGTGGTGACTGCAACCTCCAGACAAGTGCATGGTAGGCTCCTAATTGAGGCTGGTTCAAGTTTTGCACCTGAAGCTGCTGCCTCTCTCTAATGACCAAGAAGGGGATCCACCTACCAGTAACTTGTGAGTAGATATGGTAGATCGTGAATTTTTGTTTTCTTTGGGAAAAATATAATATCTGACTGTCCCCTGGACCTCTAGTGCATATCCAGTTCCTCAAAAGGATAGGAATGAAGAAATTTGGCATGTCACATCTTGAACAACATTTCTTGGAAAAAAAAAACAATGGTAATTCATGGTGATACTGCTAAGGCACCAAACCTTCAATCCAGTGCAAGAGGAAGTCTTTTTGACTGGTGGGTTTTTGTTTCCTTCATCATCCAGAAGCTGGTCAGGTTCTGCCTCCTGGTTTGAGTCC